ATGAAATAACTGAGATAAGATTATTTCAGAAGTGGTACATACTAGCAACAGTGTGAGGAAGAATGGCTGGGGCAGGCAACTTTGGATGAGGGTAGTCAAAGAAAACCTGTGCCAGGAGTTATGGTAACTGAGTTCATTGAGGAAAAGAGCCTGCTGCCCGAAGAGCTGGAGGAGGAGGATTGCTTCACATAGACGAAGCAGCAGGTGTACAGACCCTGAGGATAGAGGAACAGTGAGAGCTGTGTGCAGAGCAGGCTTGTGGATGAGGTTGGGAAGGGAGCCTGTGCCAGGCGAAACAGCCAGCCTGCCGGCCTTAGAGGGAGTCAGGACTTAACAGGGCAGCTTCGCAAGGTCTCCGGGGGATTCCACACGAGCAGCTGTCACCGACTGAGTGTGATTGCCATTGGGACATGGTGGGCAGACATGGGGGGGGAATGAGGAGCTACTGCTGGGCAGCAGGTACGGTGAGGGGAGAGTGGGTGGAGAGGGAAAGCTTAGGCTCGGTGTGGCAGCTGGGCCTCGGAGGGCTGGGCCGACTTGGAGTCTGCACCGGAAGTACAGAACCAGCATGGCTGGCGGGTGGCCGGGCTTTGGCTCAAGCAGCCAGATGGATTTCCTTTAGCTTATAGACGAGGAAATTGTTCTTTTGGTTTGTTTATGGGCACATTTTTAATGAGGTACATTGACCTGAATGATAAGCCTCAACGTGTTACATTCAGTCTTTAGACATTTTCTAAAAATTGTCGAGGTAGAAAAACAATTATTTCAATAATGCCACATTTGGGGTTATTTCTTCTTTTTATTTTTTATTTGGTTTTCAGCAGAGGAGTAACCTAGTCATAAAAGCCACGAAACAAAAGAGAATGTATGTACTTTCCTAGGACTTTTCATGAGCTCATTGGTTAACAAGAATTTATTGAAGGCCAGAGCCATAGCTCTGTGGCAGGCACTTGCCTAGCAGGTATCATAAGGCCCTGCACTCTGTCCCTACTCCATCAGAAAGGTTTCTGATTTTTAAAAAGTGTGTTTTGGCTTGCTATTATTACTGAAGTAGTGATGTGCTGCACATTATAAAATAGTGAGCCAGCGGTAGAATTACAGTCTGATATATGTATATGCCCCTGGAATGGTACTGAACTCTGGACTGCACAGTATTTACCCGCAGAATTTCCCCTCACACAGGAAAATTAATTTGTTAAAAATTTCCTTTCTTCGAGGCTGGGGATTTAGCTGAGCGGCATTAAGCGCCTGCCTTGCAAGCAGGCAGTTGTGAGTTCGATCCCCGGTACTGATAAAAAGAAAAAAGACCAAAAAAAAAAAATTTCCTTTCTTCATAATCTATCTTTAACTATCTTGCATATTAATGTATGCTGTCTCTATTGATGCTGTTATTTTATTTTGGTTTTTAAGACTGCATAGTATTCTACTTTATGAATGTATTTTAATTAATTTAACCAATTGTATATCAGTGGACATTTAGATTTTTAGTGTTCCATTTCTATCCCCTGGTACTGGGGATTGAACCTAAGGTCTTGGCACTGAGTTACATCTCCAGCCTTCTCTCCCCTTGTTTGAAATTTTGCAACAAGGTCTCTCACTAAGTCACCCAGGCTAAGTTGGAGCTAACTCCTGCTTCAGCTGCCAGGAGTGCTGGGATCCCAGGCCTGTGCCACCACACCACCTTAGTGCTGTTTCTGTATGCATTGCTTTTAAAAGAGTTTCCTTCTATCGAGTTTCGTCACATATGTCAGCGTATTGATTGTCTATGTGAAGACTCACACAGTAAATTAATATTTTTTAGACTGACGTATACATAATTGATATGTACCAGCGTCACTTTTATCTTGTGTGCTAGAGAAATTACAAACTGTTGTAGAATAGCTGTGCTTCAGATACCAAAGAAATATTCAAGATAAAAATCTGCATTTTAGTTATAGTTGCTGAAAAAGGGGTTTTTGTTACCGTCACTTTTCTGGGTTAATTTGTGTGTTGACAGAGACACATACCTCCTCTGAACTCTGTTAGGCTGCGGTCTCACACATGACCAGGAGGGGGCGTGTTATGCCGCAGCGCCCCCACCTGGTTTGAATGGCTACTCCTGCCAGCACAGAACCAGGCTGGGAGACGGGCAGGAGGAGAACAAGGCTGGGTTTTGCTGTTTTCCTCTTCATCCCTCATGGTGTGTGTAAAAGTCTTAGTCTTCAGGTTTGTCTACACTTTATTTTCAATAAATAAGCAGTTCTAAAACCTCAAAGTAGTTTTATGTTTGGGAAAAAAATCAGAGAAATTATATCAATTTAAAATAAGTTAAAATACAAACAGAAAGCCCCTAATTACCCAAGATAGAGCTCTTAATTTTTGCTTACTTCAAATCAGAAATACTCTTTGGAATTAAATATATTTCCTTGCTCTCATTCTCGATATTTTAAGCTGATTGTTGGGATTTCTGGTGTGATAAGTCATAGTTGCGTGAGAGATGCGATGTGGTTTGGCCAGTGCCCAGTGTGCTTTCTCCTGTGCTGTCCTCAGGCGTGCCACCTGCTCCCAGAGGGCTGAGCCCAGCAACCACACAGAGTGACACAACCAGAGTGGGAGTACTTGGTGCAGCACCAGAATTGCATGTTGCTTAAATTGTTGTTCACCTCCCTCCATGGTGAATTTTTATAAGAAGGTATTAAACCTGTTTCTTTGTGGATGTTTTGATTAGCACTACTATGCTAAATATACAGTCACATTTTTATGTAAGTACATAAATGTAACTTTCACACATGCACACAGTTGTGTTCCTCAGCACGTTGAGTTAGCTACCTTCTACATTTCTCTCATGCCCCTAACTGTAAGGCACAGGCAATCGTGAGTTTCATTAGTAGGAGCTTTTGGTGATAGTTTTACGGAAAATGGGTCCTGTCACGTGCGCTTCGGTGCATGCGTACTCAGCGGTTCTGCGTGGAAATTGTGCTGGCCGGCACAAGTCCCCTCTCTTTAGTGGTAAGAATTCCTAAGCTGTGGCCGAACTGCAGCTTCCTCAGCCAGGGATCTGTGGACATTTGTTTTGTTTTTCACTTTCTGTCTCCTGTGAACAAAACAGCAACACGTCCCCCACCCTGTGTTCCTGTGCCAGCCCTGTAGAAAGTTTCTCTACCAGAAGTAGGTGCTATATTCATTTTTGTAAGCTTCTATTTACTTTTCTAAAGCCTCTTTCAGTGTTCCTTATGTCACCCATATGGTTAATTTTAATTTGATTTTGAAGAAAATTTTTCAGAGAAGCACAAACTTTTTAAAAACTACTACTATAGCACATGTCTTCTAAAACTGGATAATATTCCAAAATGAGTGATGATTTAAAAGAAATATTCATATAAGCAATTACAGGCGCTTCATGCTGTGTGGAGTTTACGTTAGGGAAGAAGCCTAATTCTCTTGAGCCAAAATTCTTGTCTGAAAAATTTGGAGCCTCCCACAAGGTAACATTTGTGGGTGAAATTAACCATAGGGCCAAGGAAAAACTATGACTGATTTTATTTCTGATCTTACCATCTTCTTTGCAGTTTGTGCAATTGGTTGCCTTTTGACAGTGTTCCTTTTTTGTGTAAAAGAATGACTTGGTTCAGGTCAGACCAGGGTTCGCACGAAGCCCGCATGAATCAGGCCTTACAGAGACATTTTGTTTGTCTGCTGTATACACGTGAGGTGCAGCTGAGTCCTGAGGGCCCATCCACTGTGAGAGCAGACGCCTGCCTGCCGCAGAAGGCCGCAGCCCAGCATGTGCTCTGAGGTGCTGTCCCATTGAAACTTCATCGCCCACCTCTCCTAATCCATCCTGAGTGCCTAATGAGCACTGGATAATAACAGAGCAACGTTTCTTGGTGAAACTAATCTGATTCTGGACAGCAAGCTTCCAGGACCTCAGCTGAATGAATTGTTTGGTATTTCCAAGTTTGAAAATACTTTCTTCCCCTTTCATGTGCTCCTTGGCAGCAGGTAAGGAATGTTAAAGCTCCTGTAAGTGCCAATTAAGGCCAATTATAACTCTCCTGGCCTGCTGAGACAGTGAAGTGGGGTTAGTGAGGCTGGTGTGTCTGTAACATGGAGAACTGGTTACTACTAGTGCTGGGAACACAGTGTTCCACCACTGCCAACAGTGTGTTGCCCTGCAGAGCAGTGGCACCTCTTCTGCTTCTCAGGACTTCAGTTTGGGAAATCCCAGGATTTGTAGGGGATTTGACTAATTTTTGTAATGAACCTCTTTCTGATTTACTGTGATTCTGCTGTGATTCTCTTCAAATGATATGTAATCTCCAGGCTTTCCTTGGTTATACTCACGGTACAGTTGGTGAACACTAAAGATGTGCTAGGCATTGCATTCCATGCCAGCTGCTGGTCAAGACGAGTCTCTTCCTCATTGGCTATTCCCCGGAAGTCCAAGACTCTATAGACTGCAAGTTGACTGCACTCTACCTCTCTCCCCAACTTCTCACTGCCCCATAGTTGCTGCTGAGTTAACTCATTCATGTGATTATTCTTTAGGATTCTCTCTGCGCAAGAGTAAAATTTCTGTGTGCAGCCATTCAAACTATGGCCAGTGTGATTTTTGATCTGCAAGGCACATGGGTGTTACTCTATTACAATGATGTTTTAGTTTATAACCTTTTCAGTATGATAATTTTTGTAGGAAAAAAGAAATATGATCACAAACACATAACCTAAATAAGAGCAATCATTTTTAGGTTTAGTATCAAAATCTTATTTGGATAGAATATTAACATGATTTAAAGAAAATAATACTTTCTAAGCAGAACAATTTGCTTGTACATTTTATTCAGGACATTGAAAGAGGCATGTCTGAGTTTTTAAAACTTCCATCTGAGCTGCTTTATTTCCAGTTTTTGTGCCTATATGTTTAGTGTATGAAATTATATTTTCCTTGTCTACCACATATCCCTTTCCTGATGTGAATGTTAAAAATAAGTTTGAATTATTTCTTTTTATATATAAAATCAAATGTAATTATATGTAGTTAATTTTTTGTGGTGTTTGAGAACATTTGCTAAAGGTCAATGTGATTTTTTTCTGGGATTACAGAACTTTCTTCCTGAAACTGTCTGGATTCGCAGGTTCTCATGACTTCCCCCTTACTAGTGCTCACTGTGCTTAGAAGGAACAGCAGAGAGGCTTGTGCTGGGAGCCCTGGAAAGACTCCAGTGGCTGGTCTGAGTGCAGGGGTATGGGGCCGGGGCTTGGCCTGAGAAAGACCTTTCATTCCCAGTCTGTTTTGTGATTGATGGCTTCATGGAGCTTCTTCAGATACCCCTGGGGAGTAAACAGTAATACTGAGACCTGTTACATTCAGATTGTGCAGAAAGGAACTTTTCCCTAAAATCCTTATTTCTGCTTTTGAATTAACTTTTGAAAAGATTGGGGAGAACTATCCCTGCCCTATGCTCCTAAGATCTGCTTATGGCTCATCCTTTATGTACTTCTAGTGTGTTACAGGAGCCACTGTAGTTGAGCATGGCTGAGGTTGTGACAAATGTGGGAGATGGGCCAGGTATGGTGGTGCAAATTTGTAATCCCAGCACTCAGGAGGCTGAGGTAGCAGGACCCTTGTGAGTTCAAGGCCAATCTCAAGTGATATCGAGTCCCTGTCTCAGAAAGAAAAAAACAGAAATCTGGAAGATGGGTTCAGTACTTCTTGGTCTAAGCATCACAGGCATGTTGGAATGAGTGCCTGCTGTGAAAACAAAAGCAGTGCTGCTACTGTTCCTATGTTTCAGAGTCGGGTTTAGAATCTATGTCTGGTCCACTCTAAGCCATTTCCCATGCCTCCAATCTTTTCCTTATGCTTTCCAGGTAAAATAATTTCCACGCATATAACTCATGCTTTTGGCAGATACTCTATGTAGGGTGATAGGGTTCTGTACTCTTTCCCCTGCCCCCTTTTCACATTTAGAAGTGTCTGTTGTGGTCTGCAGGCATCTGAGCTGCTCATTATTATTCAAACCTAGATCAGCTGGCAGTATCTCTGTGTCTTTTTGGCAGTGAGATTTGTCTGTTGACAGGAGGAGGAAGTCCTTGTCAAGTGGGCAGGGTGATAGTGCTGAGATAGGTAAGAGACTGGCCAGCAAGACACTTTAAAAGGAACCACTTAGAGCAAATTTGGATCAAAAGCATAGAAAATCCTCAGCTTTAGTCTTCCAGTGATCAAACACTAAATTTTGGTGAGGCAGCAATATGTGAAATGATACATATTTTGAAAATATGCAGACAGTGGATCAAGGTTTGTGTTACTAGATGTAGAAGGAAAAGTGTGTATTGCAAACTTTTTTTAAGTTTAGTGAGCATAGATAGTGTATGGGAAATAAAACACAGAGAAAGGCTGTTGATATTTTAACCTTAAGACTTCTAGATCTTCTGAGACATAAAATGTAGGTTTTATAATTAATTGTGTAAATTTTCCTATCTACTTGGCAGTAGCAGTGCCACTTTAAAGGTATTCAGAAAAATTAGGCTGTCAGTCATTCACATTTTACCAGGTTAGATCTATAAATTCCGGGCTCCTCCAGTTCTGGCAAATTGCCTTTCAAATGGAAGGATTCATTTACACCGGCCAGGACGCCTTGTATGACCATATTAGATGAAATTAGACTCCACCCCCTGTTTTCTGTTGATCTGCCAGGACCTTTGTAATTCAAGTGCTTTTTACAGTAGTAGCAAATGTTACATAAGCCCAAACATGGAGCATATTTGGAGTTGGTGGGCAGACTCAAACCATGATGCAAGCCTGCAGTAGCAAGTGTGCACTGAAGCACAGCCGAATTCTGTGAATGGAAGGTAACAGGACGCCTCTCCAGAGCAGCACTTCCTCTGCGCAGGAGCTGAAAGCTCCACTGGGTGAGTTTTCCAAGGCAGTTTCCAGAGGCTGGGCTTGGCTAGGGGCCCAGCTGGGGATGAGCCCACAGAAGAAGGTGGGTTAGGGCTTGCTAACATTATTGCAGGGCCGAGGAGAGTTGAGAAGAGTTTATGCAGGCCTCTTTCCGCCTGCCCAGCAGTCTTCCTGCCCTGCCAGCAGGCCTAGAGGGCTGCACTGCTCACGGCGGGGGAGGGAGGCAGCTCTGGAGAGTGGAGGTGGGGGATCAGCGTAGGTAATCGCAGCAAGACGGATTAGCTGCTGCAAGCTGTCCACAGGAGCCATTCTGAAATGTCATTTGAGCTATCTGGCCAAAGTTCAAATGCAGACGAGTTTGCTATTAACTCAACAAAATGCTGAGGTTTGCACCAAACAGTTCCCGTATCTCAAAGTGGAGCACGTTGGTCACATCGGTCTCTAAAAATGGAGGAGCACTGTAATGCTCTTTAACTGTTTTTTTTTTTTTTAAATCTTGTGGTAAGTGAGGTTTTATGACAGGCAGTTCGCAGTGTTTCCTGTAGAATGTGTTTGAAAGCTGTTTTGTCAGATACTTCAGATCTACAGCAAAGTTTCAAACAGAACGCTGTCAGGAGGAAGAGCAACTTGAAAATGCAGTCACCATAGGCAGTCATTCAGTGATATAAATAAAGTGTATGAAAATGTAAGTATGGACCAACAACCAGAAAAGACAGTTTTTTTCCTGATGCTGTGAAGGTGGCCTGTGGAGCCCAGCCCACTCTTCACCTATCTCATGCCTTCTGTCTTCATGCAGGAAGTGAGGTGACAACTGAGTTCTGTCACTGGATTCGAATTTCATGCCGCCTGCAGTAATGAGCTTAACTGTGTGGTTTTTAACTGGGGTTGCAACTTAGCTCTCTAGTTGCAGGATTGTAAACAAAAATCAGTCTTAAGCCTTTAATCACATGCTATTGATTATGATTTTTTAAGAATTCTTGTCAAGTAGTTTTAATTTTGCTGTTTCTGGTTTCATTTTTGCATGTCACTTCTGGTGTTTTATTTGTTGACATCCTCAGCCTGCAGGTAGAGCAGATAACTGTCTCAAAAAAAAAATGCTGTAAACTCATTGAAAACATTGGTGCTGTTAATTAATTAACCAGTCATTCCTTATCAACAGAGTGCTCAATGAGAGAGGTCTTGTAGCCTAGCTCTCAGTGTGATGTTCTTGTTACTACCTTGTTCAGTATCTTTGGCTTTTCTCTCTCCCATCCAGAGTGAGCTAATATGAAAAAGGTTGCAAAACTTGGGGATGGAGGAGCAGGGATTGTGATGGACAGCGTTCCTGGTAGGTGGTACTGTCATGCTGTCATGCTGACATGCACCTGGGAGCTCCTGCTCCAGGGAGATGGGAATCCCTGTCCATGTTCCTGCCCAGAGTTTGAGTTTTAAAAAACAAACAAAACCATGAAACTCCTCGAATTTTGCATTTTCCCAAGTTTCCTTAATTGTTTCTCTCTGCTTGCATGTGTGAAAACTGGGCTGGAGTGGTAAAAGCATTGTTTTGTTTTAACACTTTGTGCATTTAATGGTAGCTCGGAGTCTTGCATTTGGGAAACAGCAGTGACCCGGATGTGAACTATGACTGTAGGTATGCCTCCCCGAGGACGGTGTGAGTGCTGCTTAAATTGCCCATGGTGTGGCAAATTGGGCAGCTGTACTTGTAATAGTAAATTGTTGAATTTGTAGAATGCTTTTCACCCGTAGACAAAAGATTAAATCAAAAATAGCTACAGGCTGGTGGATTTTAGGGTTTATCCACCCCCCCTTTCCAATTCTTGTTGTATGTAAGTACCTGAGAGGTAGCACATTTCACATGATGCAGGGTGGGCAAGAGACAGGGTGCTTACCAATGATGTGCGCCTGTCAGGTAGTGAGTTCACATTTATTTCAGGCAAGGTGATTGATAGCTGTCCTGTCAGCATCATTCCATGATACCATGCTTCCTGAGGACAGCAGAGAAGGCCTCAGGGCTGTTAGCAAAGCAGACATGTCAGCAGTATGCTTTTCACGAGGGGATATGTGTAGTAAGAAACATGACACCAGAATCTCACAGGTGGTATTGTCAGTTTGGTGTGGTAGTTTTGTTCCAAGTAGCAGAAAGGTAGCTGTGTGCGTCCCTGCCTGACTAGAGTCAGATTGTGCGCCTTGGTAACCCTGCAGGAGCTTAGGAAGGGGGCCTTCAGAAAGCCAGCTGGTCAGTCCAACTGTTTAGTCGCCCCCAGGACAAGCTGTTTACGACATTGATTACAAAGGAGAGACATTAGACTCCCAGCCATGGAAATGACGATCATTTTTTTTTTAACCCGCTTGTCCTTCCATATGTTTTAGTAAATATAGGGTTGTTTTTATAAATGCACTTTTACGAATGTTCACAGAGCACTACAAGTTAGGCCAGCAAAAGAGGAATACCCCCAGATATTCAGTAAATTTTTTATATTTCTCACATACTTGAAAGCAGAGTTCAGAAGGAACAATCCTCTTGGGAGGAATTCCTGACTGGAAGGTTGTTTGAGGTTGCCATATTTCTGCTCCTTTTTTAGTAACATTATTTACAATCCATTCACGCCTGTCCCCGCCCCCCCTCCCCCCACCAGAGTGGAGCACTCTCCTTCGTAATCTGCCCTTTGTGATCTGCTGGCTCTCAGGCCTACCAGCTGCAATGAGCATGTTACAGTGCTGCCCCGCCTGCCTGCCCGCCCGGAGATGTGGAAATGCCAGGAGATTGTGTTTTAGTAGGGCCTTTATTTTTGTCATAAAGCATGACCTGAGGAGCTTGATAATTCAATTATAGACCTTCGGTGAAAAGTTGTTTCAAGTGGCCCAGTTCTGTAAAGACTTTTTCAGTGTTTGCCTCTTAGCTTTCAACGTAAAGGCACCTCAGCATTGGGAGGAGGAGAAACGCATCTGACAGAGGCAGCAGTTAGAGACTTAATTTGTTAGAACAGCCGTGTTGAAATCATCCTTTTCAGTTAAGACCCTCTAGTGGAAATGGTACCGAGTGCTTTGTGGTAAAAACTTTCTCAGAGTGCCATTTATAACCCACCCAAGCATGCTCTGAGCCACCGCCAGTCCCAGCACTGTCTAACTGTCCTAGAGATCAGCGCTGGTCTCCCCAGTTTGAGGTTTTACTATTCTGGGGACAACCCCACTGGTTTGCTTCCTTTTCAGCAGCTAGATGATACTCACTTTCTTTAGAGCAGTCTCATGGTGTGCCTGAGAAATTTAAAATAGTTCCATCTGAAACAGATTTAAGGTTAAAAGAACTGGTAGGAACAAAGACTAGACTAGGACTGTGCTTAGCCAGAGATGTGGGAGTGCTTTCAAAAAAGAGAAGGAAATTCAAGGAAAATTGACAGCAGTGGAATTAGTGAAGTTATTAAATACCTGAAGTTCTCATGTTCTGATCTTAAATGGTAGGCAAATTTATTTTATTTTTTGAGACAGGGTCTCACTGTGTAGTTCAGGCTGGTTTCAAGCTCACTTTGTATCCCAGGTTGGTCTCAAACTTAGAACGTATCCTCCTGCCTCAGCCTCCCTAGTGGTGAGATTACAGGAATGTACCACCATGAGTTGCTTTGCCAAATATTTTTAATGGTTATTAGGAAAAATATTAACTACTATGTCAAATGCAAGGTCATTGTTGCAGATACTGTGAACAGTGCTCGATTAGACAACATCTAGTTGGCCACGATATTCACTTAGTAAGTAAATAATAGTTCAGACATTAGTCCAAATGATGAAAGATTCAAAATATGAGCCAGTTATGAATAACAAGTTTAGAGGAAACACTGGTGCCGTGCACAGCGGATCTGTAAGTTGAGAAGTGCTGGGAATTAAACAAACAAATGAAGTCTTAATCCCATGTGTGTTCCCTGTCCCGACCTTGGCATCTCTTAAGGGTCACAATCTTTAAGACTGACAGGTGATGTCAGTTGACACTTCATAAGCTGTGCTTGACAGCCTGAAAATGAAGCAGGAGGAGAGTGGCTAAGAGCACAGCCGGACATGAAAACAGCTTGATTAATTTAGTGAAGTGATGATCCAGAGGTTCTAAACTGAGTTTTTGGTGTACACATTGTTTGTTGGGCTGGACCAAAGACTGTGTTGCCTGTGTTTGACTCTGTGTATGAGACTTGAGCACCTAGCTCATGAAGTTGCTCAGGTGGGGTGTGAATTTATGATCCTCCTGTCTCAGTCTCCCGGGTAGCTGGGATTACAAGTGTACACCACCATGCACAGTGGTTTGTATATTATTTTGGCCACATAATATGCTTTATTATTATGCTAATCTTTGTTTTGAATGAGAGTATTAGGTGCTCTTGGAATGGGGCTGTCAGACTACATGAAAATTATACATTATATTATGTATATTTTTGTAAGTCCTTTTTTTGTTGGTTGGTTTTGGCTTTTTGAAACAGCATCTTGTTCTGTACTTCAGGTTGGCCTTGAACTCACTATGTAATTGAGGCTGGCTTCAAACCCATGTTAGTCCTCCTGGCTTAGCCTCCCAAGTGCTGGGATTACAGGGATGTGTCATCACGCCCAGCTATGAAGCCTTTTTATGCAGAGTGCACACTATCCTAACATGAGGGAATATCCAAAACTAGGAGTTTAAAGAAAAGTTGTGGGATTGTAGAAACATTACTTTGATGGTAATTTGACTGTGGCTTCGGGGTCTCCAACTGAATTTGAGACATGATCTTCACCCTATTTCATTGTACTTACAGATCTTCCCGAGCATCTCCTGAGTGTTAACAGGAAAATAAACCGATTTTTTATTTAAGTAAGTTTAGCTTGAATGAATGTCTTTTTGTTTGTGTGATTTGATTAATTGAATTGTAAAAGCTGATCCCCTGACCTCTTGTCTGAGAAAAGGTTAGTATAGACAGTTCATAAGTTAACAGTGGTTAATTTAGGACTTTTCAGCTTTATGATGATGTGAGAACAATACACGGTCATAGAAACC